TATAAAGTAGCTTTGACTAGCTTTTACAACCTCAAAGTCATAAATCTGTCAATCTGTATTACCTTGGGCAGCTGTTAGAGTGAATGGATGCCACAACACCTTGACAATTGTTTTTGTCACCTAGAAGTTCTTATTGCTAGTGAAAATTGACAAAAATGAAATACCTTGGGGATTAAAATTCATTGTGAAATGATAAACTAGCTCCCATCTCTTTACAAGGTCACATTGTTATTATATACAAAACAATTCTACATACCAAGGGAAACATAATGGAGGTAGCTTTGACAGAAGGACGTGTCTATATCATTTTGCTATGTCTAACCAAGTGTATTTTAGATTGAATCTAGCTAGGCTCTTCAGGAGGGTCATACTGACCAATGACATCTTATACAGGGGTATATACCAATACAGGGCAGGAGGTTGGTGTCTGAACCCCATGGTGGGGACAGGAACACACATTTCTCTACGTTCACAAATCTGTCTGATTCACAAGGTAGAGACCGGAACACTTTACCCTATGTCAGAGATCTTGAAGGTGACAGCTAGGACATGTAATATTGGCGATGTCCAGCCCAGCATTGTTTGGCATTTTCTCTGTCAATGATGTGTTAAAGCTGACCCAGTGCTCACTGGTGGCTGATCATCAGTAGGCATGTGACATGACACCACTGTCACTTCCACTGTATCCAGGGATCGCCCTGATATCGCCTGTCAATCTGTCCAATAAAAACACTGCTATATGTGGCGGACAATTTGTCGGCTCTGTGGCCAGACCTAACACCACTGGGAGTAAGAAAAGTCAAGCTATCTGCATAAAAACAAGGGATTAGTCTGGTAGTGTGAGCCTACTCTGTGTGTATCAGTGTTGCGGGATGATTGGGTTTAAAACATTTGGTTGCCCTTTATGATACTGTATTGTGGTAAGTAGTCTGAAGCAGTTAATATCTTGGATCATCATTAAGAGAAAACTGTCTCTGGTAACTATCTGGATCTGGACTGTCAGGTTGATCACTCTACAAAGGTATTTGCATATTCTTCTACAGAGACTACAGAAAACCATGACAATTTACAGTGTCCTGTGTTTACCGGTACTATATAGAAGGTGTCCTTGACATTTAGTGACCTTGCATACAATGTAGAATGTTGAAACTGAAATACAGCTTTTGTAAGCTGGATTTATAGACACCAATTTAATATAACAACCATTCCAAACACACTGTCACACTCACTCACATTTACCATTTTGCACACATTTTACCAATCACTTAAACCTGTGCAAATGTAATCACTGTGTTACTTGAATTGTTTTTAAGTGAGTTATGGTCCTTAAATTACAAACAAAGCATTGTTCAGTCTAGTAGTCCTAAAGTTTCAGATGAATTTCAATGGAAACTCCAATGTTCCATGTTGTTTCCTCCCCTTTTTTAAAAGTGTCTCCATTAGGCCAGCACACATACACGCATGCATACACAACACACATGGAGGCACGCCCTTAAACGACCTAAGCTGTTGGCCCTTGGTGCTATATCTTGCGTTTGAATGGAAATCCTGCCTCATTGCTTCATTTTAAATCATAGCCATTGAATTGAAATAGGGAGGAGCATCTGGATAACCGTCCTGGATGTAACACTAATAATACCTATTGCATTGTGTATATATACGATTGTTTAACCCTTTCACTCCTATGTAACTTTAGTAGACTCTACCATGCATTGATATGGAGGGGTCCATTATGGTCTACAGTGGTGTAAGGGTTAATAGGTTCACTATCAACACATTAGCACAGAACTTAACAGAGTTAGGGACAAGTCCAACATAGACAGGTTTCCATATTACAGAGGTATAGAAAGAACCAGTTTAGATAAATGTCCACTTTACAGGGGCTGGGACTAGGTTTGAAGAGGATAAAGGAAAAATGATAATACATGCGAATACTACAAACATAGGTATTAGTGAATGTTCCTAATTAGTTGAACAGATGTGAAGATTTTTACAGTAAATATATAAATACATAATTAAGTTTTACTTCTGACGTAAAAGCAAGCAGTGTAGATTGTATGATTTATAAGTAAATATTAGTTGATAATCAAAACGATTAAAAACTGAGAGGAAAGTACATGGAAATTGAATGCAACCACTCAAAGCGGTGCCTCGTATGTTTGAGCAAAACTTGTTTTCATCATCATGCTTGAAATAACTGTAATAAATGACAAATTATCTTAATACACATCACATAATCAATTATATTCTACTTTTAGACACAGGGAGGCTGTGTTAGAGGCTGCTGCCACTCAACGCTATGGATTCCAGTCAGTCTAAAGATAACTCACAAGTGTGGTCGTACATCACACAGATCTTACAACTTACACTATTAATAGTCCTGATAAAGGCTTTACTCCATACCAAAGAAGGCAAATTTGTTCTTTATAATTGAAAAATATTTGAACTGAAGAGAACAAGTAAATGTGTTTAAGGATGCTTCTACTGACTTTATTGAGAATGGTTTCTGTGTTTCCACACCAAACCTCTTCAGTGTTAGCTTTATTGACCCACAGCATTAGCCCGCTCTTTATAAAAGTCTGGCACGTTAAACACAAGTATTCCATGCTGTACACTGTATAGAGTGGAGCTTTGATTTCACATGGTCAATACTTTGCTTTTTTTTCTATCCAAAAACAAATCAGCTGGGATATGTTTTTGTGTTATACCTGTTAACACCTAAATGGTATACTAATGTATGCTTGTAACTATTTTCAGTGATTTTGCATTCACAGGATTTATTTTTCAAAATGCAAATAAGCAAAACAAAACTATTAAAAGCAGTAATTTATCATTACCAAGTTAATCTACTGAATAACATTATTGTGTACTGTATATATATTGTCTATGATATGTGACACTGTAACAACCTTCCAATTGGTTGGCTGGCTTGGATTATAACAACTTCATGCCTGATGGTATCAAATCCTTATAATAATGGGTACATTGGGTTATTATTGCCACTGAAATCAATGAATTTCATTCCTGTAAAATACAGGCCCAATGGTCCTCCTATTTATGATGAGTTGTCAGTATTAACGGGCACATCATGGTTTTAAGCGTGTATGCTTTTAAATTGCAAAAACAAAGGTACAAATTCACACGTAAATTAGCATTACACAAAAATCCCTTCAAAAAATTAATTAATACCCTGATGAAAATTAGCCAACGCATGAAAATTATCCCCCAAATTACCAACAGACAAACATTTCCACCCTAACAGTAAATCCCCTAAACTAACAGCACACCAACATTTATACTCTAACAGTAAACCCCCTAAATTACCAGCTCACCAACATTTACACTCTAACAGTAAGGCCCCTAAACTACCAGCACACCAATGTTTCCTCTCTAACAGTTAAACCCCTTAACTAACAGCACACCAACATTTACGCTCTAACAGTTAACCCCCTAAATTACCAGCTCACCAAAATTTCAACTCTAACAGTAAAGCCCCTAAACTACCAGCACACCAATGTTTCCTCTCTAACAGTAAAGCCCCTAAACTAACAGCGCACCAACATTTACACTTTAACAGTAAACCCCCTAAATTACCAGCACACCAATGTTTCCTCTCTAACCATATCAGAGTATAATCTCGTGCGTGCTGCATTAGCAAATGTGACACTAATGATGATGTGGACACACCCTATACAATCCTCTTGTAATTACAGCATTACACGTTTTAAGCTGTCACACACCTTGCACACCTGCATCCTGGATGTTTGTCAATATGCACAGGTGTTGTTGAATACAACCTTCTTTTCCATTTGGATGGAATCGCTCTCCCAAACTTTTCAAATTTGAACTGATTTTTAGTTAGTTTGTCAAGGTTAGTAGCAATATGGAATTATAAATGAGCATGGCGGACCCAAGATAAAATTGAGTTTTATTTATATGTTAAAGCAACTTGGAATAGTTAATGACCTGCAACAGGTCTGGAAGGGGGTAATTTGTCTACGCTATTTAATCTAATATAGCCGTTTATAAGTTTATAGCCACCAATAACTATTTGATTATCAGCGGGTGTATGTAAAGTGGGGGCCATCACATTCACCTTACACTAACAACATGTACATATATTTACATCTATATCAATGCTCAACAATGCCACTATTTGATTGATTTCATTAAGGATGTAAATTTCATTATCTTTAATCTATTATATAAGATCAATTTGAATCTCATTGTACTTGAGACTGCCGTGATGCTAGTGTGACAACAGTGAAGTGGCTATGTGATCTGTGTGGGGAGGCCCGGTAGGTGGAGGAGAGAAGTGTGGACAGAACTGCCCGTCTCTGGTCACAAGTCAATAGCCCTATGCTAAATTCACATAAAATAGCCATTTGGTTTGGTGAAGAACCTCTGCTGGATTCCACTGTGTTTACCTTTGTGGAATGGGCGATCTAGACTGTTTTAGCGTGGCACCCCAGGTTTTACATTGGCACATCAGAAGAGTGTACCATAAGGAAATGCAGGGAAGGAGGGCTAAAAATCAATGAAGACTGGAAACAAGATGTGACATTAAGCTAGTGCTGTATATGGCCATTTAAGTCACTATTCTACCTACTTTTGGAGAGAGCTGGTGTCATAAACAAGGAACCACATAAAGATTAAGCTATTGAAATACAGACCAAAGGAGGACTTCCTCTATAAATACTCTCTAGCCACGCAAAGCAAACACACAGATTGATTTCATTGGATGCTATCCATAAACAAAGTGGGGCTTTAAAGCATATAACTACAGTGTTTCTTTACAGGAAGTCAACTACAGTCCATCTGTTAGTGTCATGGTACTGGACCAGCAGGTAACGGTCACAGCTAGGTTAGGTTCTTGTGGTATGTACAAACTGCTGTTTCTTCTGGAGTTTGTTAATCATTGATGAATTAATTATATGTCTGAATGACAACATATTCTCTTGCATTAAAATTTTACATATTTTTTCTATGTATTTTTCCAGATACCTATTTATCAGGACGCCAGCTTCCAAGGCCCATGACTGTGAATTCAGCTGAACAACCAAGCATACCCGAAGGTCAAAGTTCAGAGGTCAAGATTACGAAAGGCGAAGGATCAGATCAGCCAGAAACTACCAAGGAGACAGTTTCTTCTCATTTCCCTGAGGAAAGTGAGGAGAACAAACATCAAGAAATCATTTCTGCATCTATACGGACAACAGAAAGGGACTCAACAGAGCCCTCTAGTGGTGCTGACGGCACACAACCAGGGGAGATAAATACTACCTCAGCAAACTTAACAAACATGGATACAATTGACAATTCAAGTTTGTCTGCAGAGCAGAAGGCTGCCAACAGGAAGGGAGATGAGTTTGTGTTTGGTGTAGCAGACGAACACGGTAAACAAGGGGAAGTAGAGATAGACACCGCGGACCAAGAGGACGCCGAGCAAGGTAGCGTTACTAATTGTTATTCTCACCCTGTGACCATACAGGTTTCAAGTAAAATTCTCAGAAACTATATATCAAATATTCATTTATGAAGCTATATTTGACCAAACTTTCATTCATAATAGCATTTCATGGCTAAAATTAGCCATATCAATTTGACAAAACCAAATGATGGTCAAAAGAGAAGAAAAGGTTTCAATTGTATTAAAAAAGGTGGTTTTTCTTTTCAAAGTGAAATGTAAAGATTGGTCACTGTTTTACTATGGTGTAACTTTGACAAGTGTTTCTTTACCAAAAGTTGGGTCATTTAACAAGTGTTTCCTTGACAATTATTGGGGTCACTTTGACAAGTGTTTTTTTCCTTAAATGAGGTCACTTTGACAAGTGTTTCCTGTACAATTAGTGAGGTCACTTTGACAAGAGTTTCCTGTACCATTAGTTGGGTCACTTTGACAAGTGTATCCTGTACCATTAGTTGGGTCACTTTGACAAGTGTTTCCTTTACCATTAGTTGGGTCACTTTGACAAGTGTTTCCTTTACCATTAGTTGGGTCACTTTGACAAGTGTTTCCTTTACCATTAGTTGGGTCACTTTGACAAGTGTTTCCTTTACCATTAGTTGGGTCACTTTGACAAGTGTTTCCTTTACCATTAGTTGGGTCACTTTGACAAGTGTTTCCTGTACTGTTAGTTGGGTCGCTTTGACAAGTGTATCCTGTACCATTAGTTGGGTCACTTTGACAAGTGTTTCCTGTACCCTTTGTGAGGACACTTTGACAAGTGTTTC